TGGTATGTTTTTCACGTGCTTGGCAAGCGCAGGCCGTTCAGACCGTTGCGGCGTGGCCGTGAAGCTCGCTCTGTGGCCTCTCCTTTGCCTTGCCGCCATCTTCGCCTCCATATCGTGGTGCCGACTTGCTGCCTCGAGCCGTCGGGCAGTTCCACGGCTGCGGAGGCCCGGGGCGCTCGGCCAGAGCGTGCCTCCTCGTCCTCCTCCCGCCTCCCTCCACCTCCCGCCTCCCCCCCGATTCGTGATGCCGCGCTTCGGAGGGTCTCGCCGGCCAGACGGTGTGAGGTCGCGGAGCGCCCTCCTGTCCCCTATTTCTCGGCTGCGGAGGCCTGGAACGTTGGGCCAGGGCGTGCAGTCGCCCTCCTCCCTCCCTCCCCCTCCTCTTGATTGATGGTCCGAGGCCCATCGCCTGCAAATTCGGGGCCTCCGCTCGGCCGCTGGCGGCCAACCCCAGCTTCAACACGGGGCTTGCCACCCGCCGCCATGTGTTGGTCCGCGGGCGGCACGATGCTGCCACGCCGTGACACTACAGATCTGCTATACTTGTCTAGCTGATCGCGCACTGTACCGTCGTCGGCCTCTCCCCCTCTTCGCCTCCTTCCCTCCCCTCTGCTGCCCTTCGCTACCTTACACTGCTCGTGCGGGACCCTGGTGCGCGGCGCCGCTTTCGAATGGCCTCCGCACCCACGAGCCCCGGCCATGTTTTCTTTTCCTTTCCCCTGCATCCCTCCCCCGCCTTTGTAAGACGGTCTGAATGTCGAGTGTCGCGTGGGCCTATCGCCTGCGGTCATGCGGCTCGTCTCGAGGTGCCTGTCTTGTGTTTTTGTGTTTCACGGCTCATCTGGAGAATATTGCATGCGGGTGTAAGCGGTCCGACCACCGTCAGCCGACCCTCCATCTCACTCTGCGGCGCAGCCATGCAGTCGTGTCATGTTCTACAGTGTTTGAGGGTGGAGTTGTGAATCTTCGGCGTGGAGAAAACTTTGCAATGGACCACATGGCCCGATTCTGGCCGTCTTGTCCGGCTTGTGGATGATCGATGTGTCCCCGCTTCCGGCGTTTTTTTTTTGGGGGGGGGGCTTTCTTTGGTGGCTCATCGCGCCACGCTGCTCAATTTATTTTGGAGGACGTGCCGAGGCCTTTTGTGTAGGTCGGTTCTGAGGGAAACGCGTTGGGGGTCGTGGCCACGGGCCGCCATCGCGGACTCAACTGGTGGAAGGGGGGGGGAGTGTTCTGGCATCGCTCAGACTTGTGCATTTTTCTCGGCGAGGCCAGCGCTGGAAAATCTGGGCTATGCTCGAGCATATTGGAAAGCACTCAGAAAAACACGCGCACGCGAAGACTGGACGTCCGACGTCCAGACGCGGAAGCTTGGCGCGTGGGCCGAGCGCACACCGACAGCCGTGGCGAGGTTCCGCGGGGTTTCGGCGGAGAAGACCTCACAGGAGGACCAGGTACGACATATGTCGAAGTAACTGTCCCAATGTTGTCCTGTGTACGGCTCGTAATGGAAGTGCTCATGAGCACGGTGGCTCCCGCTCCTTTTTTCATCTTCACGCGTGTCTTGATCTTTATCCTCTTCGTTATCACCGTCATCAGCGCCATCATCGTCATCATCGTCACCGTCATCACCGCCATCACCGTCATCATCGTCATCCTCATCCTCACCGTCAGTAGTTTTGCCCCATGACCGTCATCATTGTCATTACCATCACCTTCGTTCACGTCAGAGTTGTTGGCTCGTCATCGTCATACTGATCGCCCCCGTCGTCCCCGCCTTCATCCCCCATCGCCACCGCCGTCCTCAAACGATCGCGCCGCCCCGCGCCACGCGCGCGCACCTGCGCGCGCCCGTGCGATCCCGCGATGCCGCTTCCCGCGAGCGTGCCAGGGGCTTCCAGCCAAGTCGCCGCCGCCCTGCCGCCCCCGTGTGGGCGTGCCGAGGGATTCCAGCCAGGGCGCGGGCCGCGAGGAGCGCAGTGCGTGGGGCAGCCCGTGGGGGATCGCAGGCGATCGTCAAGGTGCTCCCGTGAAGCCACTTGACAGGTGGCCCAAGGATCCAAGATTTACCAGTTCGGGCGCGCGGTTTTCCACGCCATGCGGGTAGACCTCGGCGATTGGGTCTTCCCGTGCACGCTAGAGCTGCTTGGCGTTCACGATGGGAGCGACCACCTTCGTGTTATTGCCAGGCGCGCGATCGCACACGGGAGCTCGGAGCGTTCCCCTTCCTTCCATGTGTCGAGATCGATCGAGAAGGCCCTCCGCTGTCACCAGCTGGGAACGATGCCGCGGCAGATCTGGCTCGCCGAAGCGAGCTTCATTCAGAAGCAGCGCCGTGCTTCTGTCCAAGCTCGTCATGAGCTCGCGCAGGAGGAAAGGCAGTACATGCGCTGCAACCCAAACACACCGACGCAAGGAGAGACTGACGATCATTGGCATGGGGGCGTTGCAGAATGTTGTTCAGAAGTGGCAGCGTGAGAACACCATGGAGCACGACGACAAAGCGCTCTTTGTAGTTACTCATTTGGGCTAGATGGTGATGCCACAACGTGGCGCCGGCGGTAGTGCGCGTCCTTCGCCCATGAGAGAGTGGCGGCGCGGACGCTGGGTACTTGCGCGTCCTTTCCGTGTTCGTTATTCCACTCATCTTCCTCTTTTTCCTCAGACCTTACGCGCGCGCACAACGGGGGCGCCAGGCGCCGTTGGCGCAGCATGCGAACCAGGCGCGCCAGGCACAGCAAACGCACCAGGCACAACGAGCACAACATTGGAGTGGATGGGGGAGACGAGGCGGGCACAGCGTGCGTTACAGGGGTACCAGGCACGCCAGGGACACGAGGCACAAGCGGCACATCTGGCACAACAGGCACAATAATGGAGGTACGACAGGCACAACAGGCACACCAAGCATAGCATGCACAACATGCAAAACGACCAGGCACGCCGACCAGGCACCCCATGCCCACCATGCATACGGCACAGGCATTTGCGTACGCACGCCGATCTGGCGCGCCAGACACCGACCACGCGTGCCATTGCCGTTCAGACATACAAAGCCCTACGTCCGTACCTGGCCCAAACGGGAGTGCGATGGCAGATTTTCTGCGCGGGATCCTGTCGATGCCCTCGGCGCTGGCCTGTGCCGCACTCCGATGCTGTTGACACCCTCTCCCGCGCACTCTTCGCGGCCCCTGCGCGGGTCCGTTCCCTCGCCCGCACGGGACTTCTGGCCCTGCGAACCGGGCTTCCAGCCAAGGGAACGGCGAGGCGCTGCGGATGTCTCTATTCCCCTCTCTCTGTCTCCCACGGCTGATGTACCAGGGTGAAAACGAGAAGGCTGAACCAAGGGAGCTGGAGATCGGTTCCCGCGTCTGAGCAGGGAACGGGAACTGGCATGCTCACGAGCATGTGGGAACATGGGCCGTGGCGGGGTCCATCTTGGGACAGCTCTTTCGGCATCCGTCGTACTGATGCCGCTACCCTTCTCTTGATTTTGCCTTCTTTGGCCTCTTGGCAGGCCTTCGTCGCCACGGCCGTTTTGGGCAGAACGCACCCTGGGAGAGGTCGGGGGTAGGGGAATCGGTATCTTTCTAGTTTCCCTGAGATCGAGTTCTTCGAAAGGACATTCGCGTCGGTGCCGCAAATTGTGCGACGCAGTTGCAAGCGCCTGACGTTGCAGAGCACATCGCGCGCATGCCTGGTGCACGCGGTGTCCAGCCCAGCGGCGCGCGCCACGCTTGGCGTGGGCGACGTGGACCGCGAGGGCCGTTGTCCGCATACTGATGGTGATTGGGTGCTTCAGAGGGTCCACTGACGAAGCACTGCGGAAGCAGCCACAGAGGTGTGAGTACATCTGTCACGTTTCCGTACCTCTTGTCCCCCTTCTGCTCTTGCGTTGCCTGCTGCTGCTTCCCTGCCCCATCGCCCGCCCCCATCTTTTTACTGCCTCCTTTTATCGCTCGCTCTCCAGTCTCCACCTGTGCTGACATCTGCTGCTGGTTCCCTCGTCGTCGCTCGCCTCCCCATCCCCGCTGGTAGCTTCCTCTTCCTGCCCCTGGCCCATTCTGATCCAGTCGATCCGACTCGATGTCGATTCGGGCCGGCCCGATCTGCTTAAATGCTGACCGCTCCTGCCCGCGTCTGGGCCCTTTCCCCGGGGCCGTTTTTTCGTCCAGAGCCCCTGGGGCCCAGCAGGGACCGCAGGAGTCCGAAGGTGGCGAACCGTCTCCCGTCGTGCTTGTGGAGGAGGAGGAGGAGGAGGAGGAGGAGGAGGAGGAGGAGGAGGAGGAGGAGGGTCACGGCGCCGGGAGGTCTGGGCCCCTCCGGGACTCCTCGGCCCTTCCAGGAGTGCGGGCTGGCCAGGATCTCGAGGGGGATCCAGCCGTGGCGACAAGGAGCTTTGCGGAGGTCCACGAACCAAGGGAGGACACCACCCCGACCCCCACAGTTGGCGTTTGCTCCGCGGCCTTGGGCGTTTACTCAGCAGCCCTACCCTGTTCGAGCCCTCCCTTTTGGGTGCGTTTGCTCAGCGGCGTTGCTTGTCGGGGTGCTTGTTCTGAGGGTAGGTTTTTGCTTTCGAATCTAGGCCTCCCAGAGTGGGTCCGAGTAGATTGGGTCGAAGGATCGCGCCGCATCGCCGATGCATCGGCGACGTCGGCGTGGGGAAAGTCGGGCTCGACATCGAGCCGCATCGCCGACGCATCGGCGATGCTGCGCGATGCTCCGACCGCATCCACTCGGACCCCATCTCTTACAAGCCTGAAGCATATCCCTATTCCTACGATTGGCATCGCCTCATCTCCATGCTGATCTTAGGGGTCCCTCAGTTTGTGAGGGCGCATCCCTAAGATGGTCATCGCCTTTTGACTTGCCAATCTTAGGGATACGGACAAACTCGAGGTTGGCTCATCTAGGAGGCCTCGACTGAAGAAGGGCGAGTGGCGCGCGTAATTGTTGGGTTCTCGACCACCGATCTGACGCGAGCCTCGAGTCTCCTCCAGGACCTCCTGTCGGACGTCGCGGCCTACGGCCTGTTGGACGACCAGGAACTCTCGGGAGGCGCGCCCGCCGCGGTGCTCGGGCGTCGCGTAATGGGGGGGCCATTGAGAGGGGGGGGCAGCGAGGGCTGCAATGATGGGCCTGGTTTCCACCACCACCACCACCATCAGTTGGAGAGGAGGAGGCGGAGGAGGAGGAGGAGGAGGAGGAGGAGGACCCCCTCCCCCTCCAACTTATGGTGGTGGTGGTGTTGTTGGTGGTGGAGAACAGGTCCATCATGCAGGGAGGGAGCCCTCTCGGGCCCCTTACATGGGGCCCTTCCGGACCCAAGAGAGGGGGCCCCTCGGACCCGAGGCGCCGAGGCCTGCACCTTTCTCCCCCCCACACATCGGCTCACCACAGGAGTCTAGGCCTCCCAAGAGGGGTCCGACTACATGGGGTCGATGGATCGTGTGGCATCGCCGATGCGACTCGACGTGTAGCCCGATCTTCTCTACGTCGACGACGCCGATGCATCGCTGGCGTCGATGGTGCGTCGCCGATGCGTCGCCGATGCATCGGCGATTCATCGGCGATGCGGCGTGATCCTCCGACTTCGTCTACTCGGACCCCATCTGGGAGGCCTCTACGTGGCCTGTTTCCTCTTCTCCCTCGCCTTCTTGTTATCCCCCCTCACTCTCCTCCCATTCCTCATCCTGCATGATCCCCAACCTTCAAGTCCTCGTCGTCGTCGTCGTCGTCGTCGTCGTCGTCGTCCCTCTCCTCCCTCTAGCCCATCTGTTCCTCCCCTCCGCCGCTCTCCCTCCCTCTGCCTACCTTCTCCATCCTGACTCCCACCTCATACCCCCTGGTCACCTGATACCTCGTACAAGTCGTCAATTGCCTCCTACCCTACTTGATCTTGCTACTCCTCCACCTCCTCGTTCTCCTCCCTGCCGCCGCCAACGCAGCCGCCGCGGATTTTTCAGAACGATTGAATGCAAGAGAGCCCGGAGGTGCGACATAATCTCTCTCTCTTCCACGTACCCTCCAGCGTCTATTTCGATCAGATTGCTCCGATCCGATTCTGAGTGATCCTGCCCGGCCACAGCTTTCCTACGAGCTCGCAGTCGGCGTGGTGGCAGTCCCGGCCTGTTAGCCAGTATGGGTCCTGGTGCCTGGGGTGGCTGCGTCTTCTCGCGCCCGCTGGGAGGCAGAGATGGCAGAGAGCATAGGGCTCTCCTCACAGTGACAGCCGCGGCGATGGTTATGATGATGCGAGTCGCGATGGTTACAGCGACGGTTGCAGTGACTTTGCGAGGATGCCATCCGTAGCTCTCATTTCTCGTCACGACGGCGGTGACGGCCGTCGCTCGGCAGGGATCGTCGTGCCATGGTGTCACCGCTACCTGGGTAATGCACATCCTGGATGCCACCGAAAGCGCACAGGCGCTGTACAAGACAAACAACAGAAGTTTCTGTCAACGCTTGGGTATTTCCGAAAACGGTCCCCTCCTCCTCCGTTCCCTCTCCCTCTCCTCCCCGAAGTTCGGGGGCAATAGCTTGGGGGGATAGGCATATGGAATGAGAAAGGATGCATCGACCTCGAATGGTGGATACATCGACGATGCATCGACGATGCAGCGTTGATCTCAGAGCGATGTATCCACGATGTAAAGAGAATACCTGGGGCGATCTGCATCGACGACGTATCGATGATATATGGGCGATGCGTCGGGCATGCGAGGTCGATGTATTCCCCCTATGCCTAGATCCCCTTATCGTTGCCCACCAGATGTGTTGTTTTCCGCTAAGCGACGTGTGCTGTACGAGCCTGTATGCTGGGTCCTTCCTTCTCAGTGGACCTTCTGGCCTTGGCCGGCCTCGGTCTCAGCCGTGATGCGCTGAGTAAATAGGTTCATGCACGCCTTGTGTGTATATGTGTATATATACACATGATATTGAACTCTATGTGGGTTTCAAACAGGTGCGTGCGTGCCCTCAGGCACCCTCTTGGCCCGAGGTTTGTCGCGAGCGTGATGAATAATCATCCGACACCCTTCGTTCCGACCTTTTCCGATTTGTGTCAGCGCGTCAGTGGTAGCAAGAGCGTGAGCAGCCAGATCCACGGCATACATTCACATGCTGGAGGAGCAGACGGAGGGCAACAACGGAGATGAGCAGGCTGCGACAGTCCAGGACACGAGGCCAGTGTCAGAGGCCACGGTGACGTCGGAGGTATTCAGCAGCGCAGCATATGATGAGACAACAGCTCGACCAGACCGAGACGCTCTTGAAGCGCTACCTGAACGCGAGCGGAAACACGGAAGGTGCTGGTCGGACAGCTCGCCACGAGCAGCCAGTAGAAGCGTAGAAGAACCCCCTCGGACAGTTGCTCGCCGACCAGAGACCCAAGGCCACGGAGAGCAGCAGTCCAACCAGGAGCCGTGGACCAGTCAGGAGTGGGACACCGATCGGAGTACGGGCGACGCCTGTAAAGTGGAAGAGTGGAAGAAAAGCGTGTGGAGCAAGACTGATGACGAGAAGAACTGAAACAGATGGGATACGCCAGAATACCTTGACTCCGAGGCGTTTATGTATTGGTTTGATTGCCGCTCGTGGAGAGGGCGGCGGATGAGGTGTTTGGATCAAACAAGCGTTCAAGTGGAAAAGTTGGCAGATGAGGTGCTCCGAGCCCTGGGAGAGACATGCAACGCAAATTCGCGGACATCGTAGACGGGGCGCTCCAATCACCCGAAGGTCTGTTGACCATCGTGAAACGCCTGCACGTGCCTAGTTGCCAGAGGATCGACGGCGATGACGAAAAGAGACGAGCGGCTTCGAGGCTTTCTCCGCAACGTGGACGATATTTTCTCAGTGTGCACGCCGAAGATGGGCCAAACACTCGGGAGGCTGCATCGGCTTGGACGAGAACGGTCTGCAGTGTCTGAATGAGTTGTCCAGGGGATCCCTGGACTTTGACGAGGTGGTCTCAGCCGAGAGAGAGAGATGGGTATGACGCAGAACGAGCACTTTGCCGTGAAGCCTGGCAAGGCATCGGTTGCATACTAGGTGTTCGACGGCGCCCCCGCATTCCTTGACGAGTTGTGCGAGTGCACTGACGTCTCGTCGACGTCTTCAGAACAGGAAATTTGCTTGTTGGACTCTGGACTCGATAGATCAGGCAGTCGTGGATGATATTGGGGTTGCCAGAGGTATTCGTCGCGATGGACAGCGAGAAGCGCAAGACCTGGACAGGTAATCGATTGTTCAAGAGAACGGAATGTGGGCAGACGCTTCTACTTGGCCCTGGCCATTCTCCAGCAGGTACCGCCTCAAATACCGCCGCGAAGGGATGAGCGACGCCGTCGTGTTTAGGGAGTGGTTCGATAACGAAAGAGCCGGATGCCGATCGAGAAGCTGATGAAGATCACGAAGAGTCACCGGTATCACCGCAGATGTCATTGGAGCCAGGATTGTGCAGAGCGTGACAAGCACCGGGAAGCAAGCAAGACTGTAGGTCCTCCGGTTTCGGGCTCCGTGTTGGCCAGCGAGGTCGCAACGCCGCCCCCTGCCGCGATGGGCGCCTTCTCCTTCAGCGCGCGGGAGATGGTTTTCCAAGCGATAGACGCGGTGAGGACAGTCAATGCAGAAGGCCCGAGCCTGCAGGTTTCGGAATCCGGCGACATTGTGGTAGACGCGGCGGCCAGCCCAGCGATGAACGGACTTCCAGCTCTCGAGGAGCTGGAGCGCCGCTTGGCGGAGCTGGGATACCGAGCGACCCACGCAGAGAGCCCGCGCGCCTTCTCCAGGGGAGGTGGTGGGGAGGTCCCCGTCCAGACCGGCCTGCTGGTTCCTGCTGGGTAAGAGAGGCCGGTTGGCGGAAAGGTGGCCGTATCTGTGGACAAGCTCGGCCCCCCCGAGATCTTGGGGCCCCCGGAAAGCCTCCAGGTGCGGTGCGGACTGCAGCGTCGGGACTTTTGCTTTTGGACACCCGAAATGGGTACCGAAAGAATGGGTACCATGCCCAACAACAAATGTTGTCCCAAAGCAACAGCGGCCGCTGTTGGGCAGGCGGCCTCCTGTCTCGAATGGACACAGGCCGCGGCGGCGTGGACAGCGAGTCCTGTTCAAAATGAACAGGAACTGCTGTTGGGCATCGTGCCCATTCTTTCGGTGCCCATTTCGGGCGTGCAAATTGCTTGGGCGAGAGGGCGAGCTGCATGTCGTCTTGCGCGGCCGCCCCTCCCTCTCTGGCCGAAGCCGCGCCCGAGACGTCGGCCCCGGTCGGCGGGCCCCGGGGGCTCCGCGTCGGTCGGGGCCGAGTCAGAAGCGCCTCGCGCCCCGCCCGCCGAGGGCGAGGGCCGGGGCATCGGCTCGCGGCTTGATGCCGATGGAGGCTATGCTCGAGGGAGTGGCTCTTCTCGGGAGCGGAAAAGAGGGGGGTGATGACTAGGGGGGGGTGGATATCATGGCGGGGGCCATGATATTTCCCCAGATCTCACGGCGCTCTTCTTGTTTCATTACGTCCCTGGCCCCCCCGCTGGGCCGCGCACGTGCCGCTGGTCATGATTTGCACCCCCCCCCTCTTGGACACCCCGCTCTTGGCCGCTCCCGATCTTCAGAGCCGGGCCATCCTCGCGCAGGTGCTGCAGCAGGGGGCCATCGCCCAAGTCGCCCAGGAGAAGCGGCAGAAACTCGAGCGGGGGGCCCGCCAGCTCGCCCAGGAGGACCCACCTCAGAACCCGAGGCCAATCCAGGTACCCGCGCAGGCCTCTTTCGAGGCGGGCCAGCAGGAGGTGGGCCCTTCGACCCCGGGATTCCCGCCCAGCCCGCCGTGGGCATCCGAGAGTGCTTTGCGGGCCTGTTCTTGGTGCCGGAGCCTGGGGCCCTGGGCGAGCTGCAGGGCGAATGCGGGCGCCCCCCTCCAGTGGGGCTTCTTTTTCCGGGGGGGCGCCCGAGCGTTGAGAGAAGACGAGAATGCCTATGTGTGCCAGGCTTCCGCTGGCCCTTGGACGGTCGTGACTGGCGCGTCTCTGGGGATTTGCGCAGCGGCCCCGCCTCGCGTGCTGGCGGTGGCCGCCCGGCCTGCTTGGTGGGGCCCCCTGCGCGCCGGAGAGTTGAACGCCGACTGCGAAGTAAACCTTGCACAGAGAGAGAGAGAGAGAGAGAGAGGATAATATATACATATAATATATATATATAGATAGAGAGAGAGAGAGAGAGAGAGGGAGAGAGAGAGAGAGAGAGAGAGAGAGAGAGAGAAAGAGAGAGAGAGAGAGAGGGCAGAGGGAAAGAGAGAGAGAGAGAGGATTGAGGGATAGAGAGAGAGGGGTGGAGGGAGAGGGAGAGAGAGGGATATATATATATATAGAGAGAGAGAGAGAGAGAGAGAGAGAGAGAGAGAGAGAGAGAGAGAGAGAGAAAGAGAGAGAGAGAGAGAGGGATAGAGAGAGAGAGAGAGAAGGAGAGAGAGAGAGAGAGAGATAGAAAAGGGAGAGAGGGAGGGAGAGAGAGAGAGAGAGGAAAACGTTGGAGACAGTGATCGGCGCGGGCATGGGGCCGAGAATCGGGGAATAACAGCTTCTATCAAACCGGCAGCTTCCGCTTCTTCATCCAGATGTTCGAGTGCAGGGCGACCCCGCGCGGCGGCGCTGGAAGCCACCTCCCCTTCCCTGGCCGGCCCATCGGCTTCCTGCATTCGGAGCCCCGAGCCAGAGGCCTAGGATGTCCCGTGGCTGAAGTCAGCGGGCCTCCATCGCCTTCGTCGAGGTCTACTCCTCCTCGAATCGGCCCGCGGGCCTAGGGGCGGAGGGCGGGGTCTTCCTTGGGGGCTGGGATCATGTCACGTGGCGCGGCGTCCAAGAAGCTGGGGGCAGAGGCGCCGCCGTGCAGAGACGGAGAGGAGACCGGCCAAGAAGCGGTTACGCTCGAGCCCCCTATCAGGTTTGCAGCGAGGTCTGTCGGGTCAGCAAGGACGTCGTGGATCCCGGTCGTCGTGGGGCCCTCATCCAAGAGGGCCTCCAACGCCTGCGTTTCCTCATCCAGTGAGCTCGGGTCCAGCACCGGGGAAGGCGCCGCGGCGTCTTCGAGCGCCCTGCCACGGCGCGTTCCTGGGAGGGCCCCGAGGGGGCGCAGTCGGCGTCCTCCCTGGCGTCCAGTCGGTGATTTTCCACGTGTGCTGCCTTGGCTTCGTGGTCGCCGACCCGGGGGCGCGCTGGGCTCCATGCCGACGACCTGGTCGTTGCCCAGGTGTGCGGCGGGTGCGTGCCAGTGTTCAGGAAAGCGTGTTTGCCGCGTGATAAAAGGCCAGTCGGGGGCTCGCGAGGCCCAGGCCTCGCTTCCAGCCGTCTCGGATAGAGTCCAGGTCGGCCCAGCGGAGGGCGCGTTCCGATCTTTTCCGGAGCATGCCCGCTATTTTTTTGTGTTCGTGGCTGGCGGAAGCGGCCGAGGGAAGGCGGGGGTCGGCGGGGCGCGCGGGCCGGGCGGATATGAAGGCCGAGGGGCGTCTCGGCGCCCCCAAGATCCCGATGCGGAGATGCTGAGATTGAGCCCGAGAGGGGCCTCGGTGCCGTCCTGGAGAAAGCCGTTGTGCGTGGGCGGAAGATGCGGGAAGCCCCCCATCTTGTCGCTGACGCGCGATGGAAGGATCTCTCGTGCAAGGTTCGCGATTCTTGGGCGCCCCCGCCCCCCTCTCTACCTGGGAGTGCTCGGGGCTGCTCGCGCGCGCCCAGATGTCCCGAGATATGCGGAGGACCTCTTCTCTTGTAGGGGCTGCGATGCTCGCCGCGAAGTCGAGCGGCGGGGACGGGCGGCCAGGCCCCGCGCGGGGTGGGCATTTGATGCGTGACATTCGAGGGGCGTGCGTCCCGTTTCTTCATTCGCGCGGCGCGGCGCGCTGCGGCGGGCGCGGCGCTCTGGCGGCTCGCGGTGCTTGGGAGGCGTCCGTCGGTGCTCGGTTCACATGCGCTCGCGGGGCTTGGGCGGCGCGGAGTTGCCCGACGGCGTGTCGGCGCCGAAGCCCCCTCGGGAAAGCGGCCGGGCCGAAAGGCAGTGGGGGCGGGTGGGGGGGCTCCTGGGCGCGGGGTCCGCGGCGACAGTCGTCGCGGCGGCAAAGAACTAGATCCGCTGGCGTGCGCGGTTGTGGCCGCTAAGAACCAGGACTTGCGCAGCGGGGGGCGGTCGCTAAATCAACCGGTGTTCGGGCGCAAGAGGTGCGTCGAGAATGTCGGGCGAATGGGTGGAGTTGTTCGCTGGGCGCTCCACCCCCCCATGACAGTATGTGCGATGACGAAGGAAGGTCTCGCCGAGTCCAGCGCGGCTCCGTTGCAGCTCGTCTGGGCAGGTCTGTCACTGGTCGTTTCCGGTCACAGCGCTGTTGTCCAGGCGACAGCATTTCTTCGGGGGGGCGTTCTCGGACCGACTCGTCCCGACAGTTGTCTCCTGGTTCGTCGACCGGCTCGTCGTTTTTTTCGTCGTCGTTTCCCGTCTCCCATCCTCCCCTCGACGAAGGAGCGAGGTCGACGGGTTTGACCGAGAACTCCAGCACTGCTTCTGTTCAGTGCTACAGGCCAGGAGTTTCGCAGGTTGATCTGTCGTGGGGTGCCCGTTTTGCGTGGAGCTGCGAAGTGGCCTCTAGTGCCTCCCAGAGGCTTTCAATACGTCCCCAGCAAGCTTCAGGAGAGCCCGGGAGTCCACCAGTGAACCCCCAAGAGGCGGCCAAGAGCTCTCCAAGAGGTCCCGCAAAGCGCCCCCCGTCGGGTTGCCGCGGCATCTCGATCGCTGACATTTTCGGCCACCCCAGCACCGCCCAAGGTTGCCCCTGCAGCCTCCCGGAGGCGCCTAAGACGCCGTCGGCAAGCTGTCATCGGGATGCCACCAACCGGCCCGAAGCGGCACCCGAGAGCTTTCCCAGAAACTCCCGGAATTGTCCACGAGCAGGCTGCCGCGGCATCTCGCTCGCGGACACCTCCTGGCGGCCGCTGCAAGAACTCTCGGCGTACTCGCCTGCAGCCCCTCGCGAGGCCGCCGCAGGGGTTGCGCCAGATTGTCACAAAGTTTCCAAGAGGCCACCAGAACGCCCCCAAGAAACCCGCGCGAGGGCCCCGCGGGCCTCCGCGCGGGCCCCCGCGGAGCGCCGTCGCCGCCGCCGTCGCCGATGGCTTTCCCGATGTCTGGATGGTTTGGCTGATTGGTCTGATCAGTTCGGCGTGGCTCGTCCACTTGATTTGGTTCGTCCGGCCAGCAGGGTTTTTGCCGTGTCCGATCCAAGCTAGTTGGTTTTGCTGGTTTGGTCGCGCAGGTTCCTTCTCTTGTCTCGTTGGTTCGCTTGCTTTGGTCTGTTCCGTTCGCAGGGCGGGCCTTGGTTGGTTCAAGTGGCTCACGCCATTCTGCCGACCCCCAGAAAGAACGAGTGTCTGTGACGATTTTGGAAGTGATCGGGTGCGTCAGCGGCTTCTTGGAAGCATGCGAGGGGTTTGTGGGGCCCCTCTCAGGGGCCTCTCGGGGGGCTCTCGGGGGCATCTGGGGGGCCTTTCGGGCCTTTTCGGGGGTTGCGGACCCCTTGGGGGCCTCTTGGGGTCTCCTGCGGGCGCTTCGGGGTCGTCGTTTGGGCTTTTAGGGCCATCTTGGGGTGAGATGCTTGACATTCCAGTTCGTATCCCCTTCTTGGGCCCTCATTCAGGCCCTCCTGGGGCTCCTTGGGACCGCCTGGGGGGCACCCGCGGCCGTGTTGAGACCTTCTTCAGCCGTCGTGGGGCTCTCTTTGGGGCCTCGTCAGCCGTCTTGGAACGATCGTGGGAACCCTTTTGAGCCGTCTTTGACGGTGTCAGGTCGAAGAAGGCAAGTTTGCTAAACATGTGCATGCTCCTAATTTTGGTAGTTCTGGGGACCTTCCCGGCGGTCCTCTGCGAATGCTCTTGCGCCGTCTGGAGCGCCTCGTGGGCCGGCGCGCAGCCGTTGAGGGTCGTCGTCGGGCTACACTGAGCGATATTGGCGCTTTCTTGGATTATTTTGGAGCTGTCTTGGCGCTTTATGTGGGCTCTCTTGGGTCGTCTGTGGGCTCTTCGGAGGCTGTGGAGGCTTGGGGGTGCGTTTGGGAGCTCGCCTACCCCCTCTCAAGCAGCATTTTGGACCCCAGGGGAGGGGTGATGGGGGATGGGGACAGCTCAATTCTTCAGACGCCTTCTCGCCCCCTTGCCGGCACCTGGGGCCAGCCGATGGGTTGTTCTGGCTTGCTTGGTATGGTCAGGTGTTCTCTGACTGGTCTGCTCTGGTATTCTTGGTCTGGCATTGATTGCGTTCTTCGCTATGTGTTTGTTCTGGTCTGACTGCTTTGGTCTGTTGTGTGCGTGCCCGTCGCAGTTCGCCCGGGTCGTCTTGCTGATCTGCTTGGCGTGGTTCGTTTCAGGTGGCTGCTCCGATGTCTGGTCCATCTGGTTGGTTGGTCTTCTTGGTCTGGCGTGGTTGGGCCATTTGTTTTTTGTTTCCCCCCTCAGGGTCTGGTCCATATTTGTTGGCATCATCGGATTGTTTGCGCAGGCTCCTTGTCTTGTCTCGTTGATTCAGCTGGCTTGTTTTGTTCGGGTTGCTGCGCTGGCCTTTGTTGGTTGGTCTGGTTTGCTTGGGATGCCCTGGTTTGCTTTGAGTCGTCGAGCAGTTCATGTTTTTGGCCTGGTCTAGTTTTGTTGGTCTGGCCTGCCTGGTTGGTTGATTGGTTTTCGTTTGTGGTCGACCTGTCATTGTACCCGAATTGCGTAGCCGTGTGATTTGGCTGGTCCAGCTAGTTCTTTGGCTTTCCTGGGTCTGCCTGCTGCGTAGGACTTGGGGGAGGACGAGGAGCAACATCAGGAGCAACCTCAAGATCAGAATCGGCGCGCGGAGGGGCACATCCGAAGAGGATCAAGGGGAGAAGCCAACCATATGAGTGTTTCAGCAGCCACATCAGTTTTTAAGCCCCAGAGCAAACATCGGCGCTGCGTCCTAAAAGCTTTTTCCATCCAGCGGCTTGAACATATTTCTCTGAAGTCCGCGTGTATTTCTTCTATCGGTGCCTTAGCCCCCCTTGCGGCGCCTCCGGTGCCGCCCCTGGCGCGCTTTGCGCGTCAGGAGGGGGGTCCAGCGCCGATCCACGAAAATCGCGCGGACACCAAAGATGATCGGTTGATGCCGTTTGTTTTTTGTTCTTCTCAACCAAGAGCGTAAACAAAGAAACGACGGGGGGGGGGGGGGGGAGGGGAGGGGAACGAGAAGCGGACGTGGAACATCGACGCCGACGAGGGGCGGGGCGGGGCCGGGGGGAACAGGCTCAAACGGACAAAACGACAAGCAGTGACGACGGCGGCGAGCGAGCGAGCGGGCGAGCCTGGCGTGCGCAGGCGTGGCTGGCGTGGTCCTGGAGTGCGAGGAGGACGGCGGACGTTGCCAGCCAATGGGGCGCAGGGCGAGAATTAGGGAGGGCGAGGAAGGGTGGGAGGAGGAGGGGGAGGCCGAGGACGGGAGAAGGGCGAGGAGTGGGAGAGGGGGGAGGAGGGGGAGACGGAGGATGAGTGAGGAGGGGGAGTCCTTTCGGATCCTCTTGGCCAATCCCGAGGGCCACGAACATGTACCCAAGCAGTGGAGCGCCGATTCCCGCAATGGACACTGGAGCCCCCAGTAGTGGTGGTGACGAGGAGGACGAGGAGGTAGAGAAGGAGGAGGGGAGGAGGGGGAGGACGGGCGACGTGTAGGCAGGGTCAGGCCTGTCGCCTCCAGGAGGAGCATGCAGGCGCGCGCTTCTGTATCATCGGCGATGACGGGCGTCACTGGGGGGGCAAGGAGGAGGAGGAGGACGAGGAAGGGGAGGGGGAGGGGGAGGCGGAGGAGGAGGAGGAGGAGGAGGAGGAGGAGGAGGAGGAGGATGGAGGAGGAGGAGGAGGAGGAGGAGGAGGAGGAGGAGGAGGAGGAGGAGGAGGATGAAGAGGAGGGGGAGGGCCGCGCCCGCGCACGACGACGACGAGCGACGAGCGACGAGCGACGAGCGACGACGACGACGACGACGAGCGACGAGCGACGAGCGACGAGCGACGACGACGACGACGACGACGACGACGACGACGACGACGACGACGACGACGACGACGACGACGACGACGACGACGACGACTGCGGACCAGGCTTTACGCGGATTTTTATGCGGACACCCATGCGGATCACGATGCGCACGGCGGCAGTGCCCGGAACGCATTGGCGGGGGGAGCGTTACGTCATGGGGGGGTGGCTGGGGGCTATGACGCCCGTCGTGCCCCAAACAATATAAAACGGGCTTCAGGGCGCGGAAGGTGGAGTTGTAAGAGGGAGAGGACGATCTTGATTATTATACTGCTGCTGTTGATGACGATGATGACACTTGTGATGATGATGCTGCTGATGCTGTTGTTGCTGATCATGATGATGGTGGCGCTGATGCTGATGATGCTGATGATGATGATGCTGATCATGCTGGCTGTGCTGGTGGTTGTGATTATGATGCTGCTGTTGATGGCGAAGACGGCGATGACGATGATGATGCTGATGATGATAACGATGCTGATGATGATGCTAATTGTGATGGTGATGATGATGCCGATGATGATGACGATGCTGATGTTGATGATGATCACGGGAGGAGGACCAGCAGGGCGATTATGATAATGAGGATGAGGATGAGGAGGACTATGGTGCTGATGCTGATGATAATGTTGATGATGGTGATGGCGCTATTGCTGATCAAGCTGGTGACGATTATGCTGATGATGCGTATGCTGATGATGATGATGTGGATGGTGCGGTTGGTGATGCTGAACATGTTTGTGTTTGTGGGAATGATGATCATGATGGTGGTTGTGGTGGTGATGATGATGATGATGATGGCAATGGTGATGCTGCTAATGCTGCTGCTGGTGATGATTCTGATGCTGGGGATGCTGATGATGATGCGGCTGGTGATGATGATGTTGATGGTGATGTTGCGACTGCTGCTGTTGATGATGATGATGCTGTTGCTTCTGATGTTTATGCTGGTGGTGATCATGGTTGTGGTGGTGACCATGATGATGCTGATGTTGCTGATGATGATGCCGATGAAATGATGACGATAATGGTGATGTGGGTGATGGTAACCATGCTTATGGTTGTGGTGGTGGTGATGATGGTATTGTTGATCGTGCTAACCGTTGCTCAGGTCTGTAGTATATTGGAGAACAGGCGGCGTGAGTTGAGTACACCCATGCTGGGTTGATTTTGCTGCAGCGATCCCTCCCGTCCCAAGGCCCCTCCTCTCGAGTTCCTTCACCCATTCATTGCCTTTGTGGGAGCCGCGCCCTTTGGCAGACAAACGCCTGGTGGGCCTGCTACCCAGGCGAGGCCTCGTGTTGCAAAGGGTCCCCCCACTTCCTCCTCCTCCGCCTCCGCCTCTTCCTCCCTTCCCCCCCCCCCCCCCTCCACCCTCCTCCTATCCAGCAGGGCCGCATATAAATGGGGCCAGGCATTTCAGGGAAATGTCCAGCGAGAGGCCCTTTCTGAGCAGGATATGCCCTCCCTCCATCCGTGTACGTGGTGCTTCAGTTTGGAAGTTGTGTCCATGACGTGTTTGGATGTTTCGAACGAGGGCCCAATCTCGAAAAGGAGTTACCCTCACATGCGTGTAGCTGTTGTCCAGAGTGTGACGTTACGTCGTCCATTTCGAGGAAGCCTCAAACGAGAGACGCAGCTGTACGTTCTTGCAACGAATATGTTCGCGGCGCGAATGCGAGAGCCACGTTTAGGACAACACGCACCTCGATCCTTACAACTGTTCCGCGCTTCGAAGCGAATGTGTGCGGCGCCAAGGCGAGCCCCGCATTTCAGAAGCCACCGGCCCTTCATCCTTGTGAATGCTGGAGTTCACCAGCTTCAGGAAAGAACGTTACTTGGAACTCTCAAGCGAAACACCCAGACATGCCTACGGACACGCCTGGTGGCGCGAGAGGGTGAAGTTACGAAGGATTGTTAAGAGATGGGGATGAGGAAATGGGTTGAAGGAGGGAGGAAGGTGAGGAGAAGGCGGCGGGTGAGGAAGAGGGATCAAGAAAGGGGGATATGAGGAAAGAGGGGTGACGAGGATGAGGAGGGAGTCAAGGGGGACGGAGGGAACAGGGCGGTAGGAGGAGGCTACAAACAAGGATAGGGAGTACGCGTGCGAATACTGGGGGAGGACGATGCGGGAAAGATGATAAGGATGGCGATGGTGATTGTGATGCTGATAATGATAATGATGGTGTCGATGCTGCTGCTGTTGATGAAAATTCGGATGCAATGTTGATTATACTTATGATGATGATGGTGGTGATGATGCTGATGATGATATTTAAGATGGAATTGATGATGCTTATAATTATGCCGATGCTGATTATGAGGATGATTATGCTGCTGATGATGGTATTGATGCTGATGACATAGATGCTAATGAAGTTCGTGATGCTGCTGCTGATGACGCGGATCATGAACATGATGCTGGTGGTGATGCTGCTGCTGATGATGATGTCGATGATGCTGATGCTGTTGGTGCTAATGACACTGGTAATGCTTATGCGCAACACGATGATGATGATGATGATGATGATGATGATGATGATGATGATGATGATGATGATGATGATGCTGTTGCTGATGTCGATGATGATGATGATGGCGATGCTGATGATGCTGCTGATGATGATGCTGCTGCTGCTGCTGATTCTGGTGCTCATTATGATGATGATGCAGCTGCTGATCATGATGATGACGATGATGATGATACTGATTATGCTGCCTATAAGTCTAATGATGCTGATGATGGAGTTGGTGCTGGTGATGATGATCATGATGATGCTGATGCTCATGCTGGTGATACTGCTGATGGTGATGCTGATGATGATGGTGATGATGACGATGATGCTGATAATGAAGATGATGATGACGATGGTGATGATGCTGATGATGTTGTTGATGATGATGGTGGTGATGACGACGACGAAGCTGATGATGATGACGATGACGATGCGGATGATGAGGATGCTGATGATGACGATGCTGATGATGCTGCTGCTGATAATGCTGATTCTGTTTATGATGATGATGCTGATGATGATGATGATGATGATGATGACGCTGATGGTGATGATGATGATGATGATGATGCTGATGATGATGATGATGATGATGATGATGCTGATACTCATGGCGATTATGATGATTATGCTGCTGTTGCTGATGATTATGCGGATGGCGATGATGGTGATGATGGTGATGCTGCTGATGAAGCTGATGCTGATGATGATGATGATGATGCTGATGATGATGATGATGCTGATGATGATGATGATGCTGATGATGATGATGATGATGATGATGATGCTGATGATGATGATGCTGATGATGATGATGATGATGATGATGATGATGATGATGATGATGATGATGATGCTGATGATGCTGGTGACGCTGATGATGATGATGGCCGTTGATGGTGATGGCGGCGATGCTGAGGAGGAGTAGGCTGTTAATGAGGACGAATAGTTTACGCAGCTGCAGCAACGGATGATAAGCAGCACGTAACAGGTTGGCGGGCCAATCAGGAGCTGCTCCAGACTTGGATGCGCTGCGCCTTCGAGGCGCACGAGCTCTCCTCCTTCTTCCGCGTGCTGCAGGCGCTCGCGGGGACGGCTGGTGGACGACGACGACGACGACGACGAGGGACGTCGACGACGTGGACGGCGTCGGGGTTGCGACCCTCCAATCGTTGCGCACAGGGGAGGGGGAGGAGCGGAGGAATCGAAGGCAGAGGCGGCATCGGGACGGGCAGATGGGGATGGGAAGGGAGGGAGGGCGAGAGGGAGGGAGGGAGAGGGAGGGAGGGAGGAAGGGAGGGAGGGGGGTGGACGAAGAAGAGGAGGAGGAGGAGGAGGAGGAGGAAGAGGAGGAGGAGGACGAGGAGGAGGAGGAGGAGGACGAGGGGTGGCGACGACGACGAGGAGTAAGGTGAACGGAGCAGGGGCACTAAAATCTATGACGGGGGCGGGGGGAGCAGGAGGAGGAGGAAGAGGAGGAGGAGGAGGAGGAGGATGATGGTGCCTGGCCTACCTTCTCTAGCTCCTGCTGCTGCTCCTCTTGCTGCTCCTCCTCTTCCTCTATTACCCTTCCTCCTCCTGCTCGTCCTCCTCCTCCTCCTCTACTCACCGTCCCTCTTCGTCTCCCTTTCTCCTCCATGCTCTTTCTCTGCTCGGCTCCTTGTTTTTTTTGTGCGCTGAGCCCTGGTTTAATGCAGCTCCTGCCTCTTGCTTTCTCCACTGGGCTGACTTCGCCGCGCAGTCCTGGCCAGAGCGCACCTCTGGAGAGGTCTAGAGAGCATCGGCATCGATATGGTTGTTTGTCCCGTTTCACGACGTTTTCGTGCGGGATCGTGCGTTTGACATCCACAGGCCGAGGGAGCAAACGCCACGTCCTCGCTCTGCGTATGCTCGGCGGCTTTGTGTCGGTCGCAGAGCAGCCCCGCCCCTGTCGATCCCCTCTCCCTCACCGCCCCGTTTGTTTGGGAGGAGGAGGCGGAGGAGGAGGTGGAGGAGGAGGAGGAGTGAGGGAGGTCGACGGGGGCAGCAGGATGAGGAGGAGGAGGAGGAGGAGGAGGAGGAGGAGGAGTCGGAGGAGGCGAAAGAAGAGAACGAGGAGGAAGAGGCGGAGGAGGAGGAGGAAGAGGAAGAGGAGGATGAGGAGGAGGAGGAGGAGGAGGAGGAGGAGGGAGGACGAGAGGGCGGAGGAGGAGGAGGAGGAGGAGGAGGAGGAGGAGGAAAAGGAGAAACACGAGGAGCAGGGGGAGGAGGAACAAGAGGAGGAGGAAGAGGAGGAAGAGGAGGAGGAGGAAAAGAAGGAGGATGAGGAACAATATTATGAGGAGGAGGAGCAGCAGCAACAACAGTAGCAGCAGCTGGGCGAGGTGGAGGAGTAGGAGGAGGAGGTGGGGGAAGAGGCATTCGGTTATATCATTCCGATTCGGTCAGCAAGATAGACTTGACGAGAACTCAGTACGTGTTTGTAGCAAAGTTGCCAAGCCGGAGTGTACTAAACAAACACAGTTTGGCACTGCTGTTTGATTCAAATTTCGTTCGCCTTCATAAACAAGAGATATGGCTATACTTCCATGTCAACGGAGCCCGTGGTTCGCCCCACGGCTTCTTGTGCGCGTTGTCACTCCGCGAAGCGCTTCTTTTCCGGTAGTGGCCGCAGCGACAGTCGCAACGGCTCCAGCGAATCTGGGTGCAGTCGACCCAGACTTCGATGTAACGTTGTCCGCAGTCCGAGAGGCATGGTACAACCTCACCACGAGCCGATTCGCGGAGCCGTGCGTTGCCAGTTGCGAGAACGGATATTCCATGCATATAAGCACGGCGATCAAGAAAACAAGACGAAAAGACAGGAACGTACCTCACCGAACGCAGTTTTACACAGGAGACCAGGATTGTCGGCAACGATGAAGAACTCACCATGTTTCAGGTGAGCTACAACATGAATGCTCTCTTGTTCCCACCTTTCAGTAGTACTATCTACCATGTACCGCGGGGAGCAGTTCAATACTTTGGAAGAACAGGCGATTACTTAATTCCAACAAGACCGCTGAGGCAATACAGGGTGCAGGACACGTCATAGCAGGTGGATGTGCAAGCGACCCAACGAGCGAGTACAAGGCTGTCCAACGATCAAGCACGTTCTCAGGTGGCAGGACCAAGCGCAGGGATGGTATCGACAACCTGTTCAATGCATTCTCCCAAGTGGAGCATCGGGGGTGGACAGAACCCTCCCGCTGACGCGCCGATTCGCGGATTGTCCGTTTTCGGTTCTCGGAAGGGCGCCGCGGTCGTCCTTTCCAGGCTTGCGCCTGTCAAGCTTGGGCCCGAGAGCGCGGTTACCTGGTGGCCCTAGATAGTTTGAGCGACAAAAACGAAACCATGGATGGGGCATCGCCCGATGCGAGAGGACAACGTGATACAGATCATGAGCGGGAGGTTTTAACGTTGAGCGAGTGCGCCGGCGAGTCGGACATCAAGGATAAGAAGATGACGACAAAGGGGTTTATTATTTGGACGGAAGAGATTATGCCGAGTCCGACGAAGATGTTTGGAATTTGTTGGCTAATAAGTTAGAGGGGACACAGCCGTTGGAAAGCCGAAGGGTCTACTTCAAGGAGGCGGCTTGGTGGCGCGTCCAGAAACTTGCGAGTTGCTTCCTGCGGCTGCCGGGCTTGCGCCGTTGCGCAGCGTGACACTGGCCATGGAACTGGACAAACCAGAGGCAATGCATGACGTGGCTGTGCAGCTTGAGCAGTGGAGTGCGCTAACATCGAATCTCTGGACAATCTATGGGTCTGCCTATTCTTTGCCGCTGCCATGCGGGTTTGCAACCTTGGGGGTCATTCTTGCCCAGGCAGGTGCATGTTCTGACTCCTGGCAACGATGCTGTCTCAAAGCATCGGGGTCGTCGAGCATCGGCGCCTGCCCAGAACAGTTCGTGAAGAACACCGATGCAACGCACGCGGGCCAGTTTAACGATGGCGACGTCGTATGTCGGGGCGCCGGTGGAGACGATCCAGGCTATCGCGGCGAGGTAAGCTTTTGATAATTCGAGAGCGCGCGGCAAATGGTCGAGAGGCAGCGCGAGCGACGTTGGGGGCCTGGCAAAGGGCAGCGGGCCCATGTGCCACTGGCGCGGTAGGCGCGGGCGCGTTGCTATGGGCTGCGCCGCCAAGGGTGATGCCAAAAAAGTAAGAATGCGGACGAGGGGGGTGCGAAAGGGGCCAACGGCTCCCAGTGGGCGCAGGTGGGCGGATGCAACTGAGGGGGTATATTTGGGCGCCAGAGGCTGCCCGGGATTGCCGGGGGGCCGGGCCCCGGGCTGGAGAGGAGGTCGGGGAGGGCCGACCGGGGCGATGGGGCGCTGCGCGCTCGGCGAGGAGGGCCGCGCCGCAGCCCGCTTTTCCCTGGGCGCCGGCGAAGTTGCCCGAGGTCGGGGTGGGCGGGGTGGGGTGGCGGTGGGGGGCCTCGCACATGTCGGTGCAATTTCAATCGGCAACGCCCCAACATACTTATACTATATGTGCGTCGCCCCCCCAGGGGCGACGCGCGCAACCGAGAAATCTTATAGTATTTGCGTCGTGGCGGGCGCTTTCTGGCCACGCCGCTCGGGGAACGATATGCGACAAGATGGGTATACTATATGTTCGGGTCGGACGCGCGCCTCCAAGGAGGACATATAGTACTAGTATGTCTCTGTGTGCCCCATTCAATTTGGACCAGGGTCGCGCAGCGTCGAGAGGGGTGAAGGCACGGACAAGTGTGGGGCCGCAGACGACTCCAATCCATGGGGGCCCGTCAGCGGGGCGCGGGGGTAGATCGGGGCCCAAGAGACGGGGCCGATGCAAACGGGGGTCAGCCAGAGCGCTGGTTCTTTCAGGGCCCTGCGTGGCCAGGGTCGCATTCGCCCAGGCTTGGGCGCAGGGCCCTGCAGGGTCTTGCAGGACTTTTCGCGTTGACCCGAGCTTGGGCGCGAGATCTTGCAGGGTCCTGCAGGGCCCTGAAATGCGTGGCTGGCCCGGGCCTGGATTGGCCCGGGCCGGCGGATCCCCGAGTGGAGGGCGCAGCTCCGCGCGGCGAAGAAGGCCGGGCAGGCGATATTTTGGATTGAGAGGACATGTGCATCGCGGGGGCGCGGAGCCAACTGGGACCGCGGCGCCGCCTGGGGTATCCGAATTTCGGAATGCATCGAACAGGGGAAAAATCGGGCGCCGCGCGCGCCTGGCGATAGTTCGCGGGAACGGAGGGGCCCGGCGAGGAAGTTAATGAAGTGCTTTCGAGGGGCCGGGGAGGCGCAGTGATAGTAATGCCTGCTGCCGCGGACTCAGGGGCTCTGACAACTCTGTTGGATTCCTAAACGGGGAATCGCGCGCTCGTTGAACCCGCGGAGGCTTCTGTGGGCGGCGGATGCTACAGCGCGGCGAAACGCCCGGTCATCGCGGGCCTCGCGCGACGGAGAACTGTGGTAGAAAGCGCGAGGGGGCATCTTGAGCGCGCCCGTGCAGGTGTGTTTTTTTTTTTTTTTTTTTTTTTTTTTTTTTTTTATTTTATATATATATAATATATTATATATATATATATATATATATATATACACACACTCCGGGGGGGGGGGGGTTCGCGTCTGTTTGCGGGGTGGTCCAATCAGGGAATCGCATGGCGTTGGGCGGGGCCGCCGGCGACCCCGCAGTTGCCCCGTGCACGGGGCAACTTGGGCAAAAGACGATGACTTACGGGAGACGGCGATCTTATTGTCGCCATCCGGGCCCCGAAACGAGCTGTGAGTCACCTGGGGCCGCGGGTGATCGGCGAGGTTGGCGAGGGTGCGCGTGGCTCTGTTCGGGCAGGGCGCCTTCGTGGCGGACCTTATTGCTGGGTCCGCCTGGGCCCGTGGGGCCTGGTCAGAATCCAGTCGTCGTGGATCTGGGGGGCGAGTGTGTCTGCGGCGGGTGATGCGACGCGGCGGACGTCCTTCGGGGAGGAGGCCAGGGCGCCCGACAGGATTGCGCATGGCCTGAGACCCTGCGAAGTGGAAGTCGAGCTCGCTTGCCCACGCCGCGCCCCCGCTGCGCACGAGGAAAAGCACG